TTTGCTCGAATTTCTAAGGGCAGTGAACCTCAGAACAAGATAATGTGTTCTGATGAATTGGGTCAACGGTTAATTGAAACATACATGGGGCTCAGACTCATAATATTAATTTTTCTTTCCCGGGCTGAAAGATCCGGGCACATGCGTTCACTGGAGCTAAACAATTAGTGGTGGTAATAAATAATAATAATAATTACATTATTCGGACTGTTATCCTCATCTTCAATGCATATTCACAACGTTTCGGCCGTTGTATGCTCCGACCTTCTTCAGGTGATTGGCATGTCGAACCAAACCCTTTATTTCGTCCAATGAGAGGCCAGAACTTACAACAGCCGAAAAGTTGTGAATATGGCAATGAAGATGAGGACAACAGTCCGAATAAGGTAAATAATCCGAAAGAGGCATGGCACGTGGAACTAGAAAAATTTACCCCGGTGGACAAAATAAAGGATTCAGTTCGAAATTCCAATCACCTGTAGAAGTCCGGAGCATACAACGGTCGAAACGATGTGACTATGACAATGAAGATGAGGATAACAGCCCGAATAATGTAAATAATCATAATACCTCATCTTAGAGATATAGACAGAAATAATAATAATAATAATAATAATAATAATACAGAATTCGAAGATGAAAGGAAAAAATCGCAAAGAAGAGCATCAGGTGAGTAATAATGAAAACCGAATTGAATTCGAAATATATAAAAATAGCTATTAATACTCTTGCTACCCCGATTGTAGCTTCAACATAATAAACTGCGACCTCAAGAAAATGGATACTAAATTTCGCAAACAACTCACATGAGCTAAAACACACCACTCTAAGGCAGATGCTGACCCTCCGTATCTGAAATGGAACAGTGGCGGTAGGGAGCAGGATTCAACTAAAATTATTTTAAAATTTCAATAATGGGACTTTATAAAAGATGTTCCAATTAAACAAGATTGGATGTTGCAACTCTTTAGGGTGCATGCAAAAAGTAATAAAAACCTTTATTCTCCATCAAAAGAATGCCATAAATATTCAATCGAATTCGGGTTAAATGTTGAAAATAGTGAAATAGATATGCCTGCCACAAAACCACTAAGAAAAAAAAAAAAAAAACTTAGCCAAAAACAAATATGGTTATTTGATTTGTTTGTTTAACGGCATATGAACATCCTTATGGGTCATTTAATGCTGAAATTTTATTTTCTTGGGAACTTTGTTTTTTTCCAATAATATATTGCTGGAAATTTTTTCTAATGTATTTTTATGTTTTCTTATTTTGACTCCTGTTTGGGAGTTCATTGTTTGCTCATAGTTGGGACCCTAATAGGTGTCAGGGTGGACGTGGGAACAGCAGCAATTAAGGGGTAGTTTCACACTCTTCAAACATCCATGATAAGAGTCCTTGTTGCCAGATGTAATTTATCGTCATACCAAGGACAAAAAAAGCAAATATAAGATGATCCGCCTTTATCCACCGTGCTATGTGTCCTTGAGGACACATGGCACAGTGGATAAAGGCATTAGTTATATCCAGTGACAGGATCCAAAGGGTGTGAGTTCAATACTTGGTTAAGGCAGTGGAGAACTTGCAGAGGGGAATTAACAGGAGATAACTGACAACTGGCATCCATTAGACATGGCACGTGGAACTAGAACAGTCTACCCCAGTGAGCGACATTCCAACCACCTGAAGAAGGCCGGGGCGTACAACGGCCGAAACGTGATAAATATGGCAACAAAGATGAGGACAATAGTCCGAACAATGTAAATAGCGATGTAGATCAATTCACAATCCATCAGTGCCTAAGGGGTTCAGGACGGGTGAGACTGAAGGGTTTATTTTTTACTGCGCAGGAATAAAGTCTGCTTACACCCAACTATCAAGCTAATCTTGCATAAAAGTACGAAACCCCAATGTAGATTGTGACAAACACATTGAAACTATCGATCGGCTTATCTCAGATTGCTCAATACTCGCTCCCAATAAGTACAAAAGCCATTATGACAGGGTAGATCAATATCTGCATTGAAAGATCTGTCATTACTACGGGATCAAAACAGTTGTCAACTAGCATGAATATTATCCTGAATCTTTAGTTGAGGGTGTAGATGTTACTATGCTCTGGAATTTATCAACATAGATGGAAAAATACAAGCAAATCGCCCAGATATTATTATCAAAGACCGAAAAGAAAAAAAAAATGTTTGCTCACTGATTGACATAAATTTACCAAGCGACAAAAACATCGCGGCGAAGATTTTTGAAAAATTAAGCAAATACAAAAACTTAAAACCCTTAAAAACTAAAACTTTTCCTGTTGAGGTTGGAGCTTTGGGTCTTATAAAGAAAGGAAATCAAGAATAAATCAACAAAATCTTTGGTACATCACCCTCTCCAGAAAACCCTCAACAGTTCGAACGAGCATAGATCATATCCTGCGAAGAGCTTTGTCGATTTAAGTTTTTTTTGTTTTGTTTTTTGTCTCAATAGCAGTCTTTTGTTGAAGTGTGAAAAAAATCACACCCTACCTTGCCATTGGTTATGAACCGGCACGTGATAAAATAAATGTTGTGTCGTGGCACAATAGTAAAATAAGAAAATCAAGTCGAAGTTGGGTTAAGGAACAAGTGTATTTAACATCACAGATACAAAGGTAGGAAACGGGTACTACTCAGTTAGGCAGTGTAGTACTGTCGCTGCTACTACCGGTAGGTACTACTGACACTATATATATAGTGAGAACCGGTGTAATTCCCTTGTGTTAGAGGCCGGTGTAACAATAAATTAAGAATTTTTAAAAATAATAAAGCTGGTATCTCAGTTTCGCTTCATATTATTATAAAACTTTGAAAATAATAAGAAAATCAGAAAAAAAAAAAAATCGGCGTACGCGTTTTCGTTTGAAAAAAAAAAAAAAAAAAAAAATATATATATATATATATATATATATATATATATATATATATATATATATATAGTCGACTCTCCCGTCAAGTTCGACGTATGAGGGTGAAGCAGATCAGTTCCCAAAAGACCGACAGCGACACATGAGATTTGATTATAGTGGTGAAGGTTTCGTGCTGGACCATCCACACTTTGTGAAGGGCCGAATTCAGAGACCTGATACACTAAGTGCTACAAGGTCCCCAAACGACCCTCCGCAGGTTTTGAATTCAGAGTTGTCCTTCTCCTAGACCAGTTGCCATCCAAGGCTATAGAACCCAGTCTGTCCTGTTATTTACCCATAGCTGGAGGGAGAAGAAGAGGATTCAGACCTTTCCCAAGGGTATTAGCACGTAAGTGAATGTAATGGATTCGACTTTAATTCGAACTCGGCTCTGCGATTCCTCAATCCAAGCCACTATATATAATCTATTCAAACGCAAGCGTATTTGCAAGTGAATTTAATGAGTTCGTAAATAACTAAGTTAAAGTTCTCGATAACAGGGAGAGAGCGTATGTAAATATAAAAGTATGCATCGAGGTCAATAGCCGATGGCGACAGTCGGCTACATTCTTAAACGCAATCGTCAAGCCATTGCGATTAAACATGAAACGAACTGTCGCCACGAGGTGTTGTTTACACACACACATATATATATATATATATAAGTAAAAGGTATTAAATCTCTTCGTATATAATTCAAGTGGATCCTAGTAATATAAAATATTAAAATTGATCCACAATAAAATCTCAATGTATTTATTATACAGAGCAAATAGTAGTACAGAATGAAATCCAAAATGACTTCATATGGGAATTGGATCTAGTTCAACTAACGAAAACTTCGCCAGTCTTATTCAACCCCGCTATATAGACAGAGTTAGTCTCGGAATTACGCACACATACATGCATATATATTGTAAGATTATTATTTGGACATAATAGTTTAGTGATACAAGTCTTACTACTGATAATTAACCCATAGCTGAGGGAGAAGGGTTGGATTCATACCTTTGCGCTTAAGTGAATAAACAATTGCGAGCCATTATCCTTTACATCACCTGCACATCTAAGCGGTTGCACATCTAGGTAATGACTAGGCTCGATGTTGCTTAACTTCGGCGATCCGGCTTGTGCAAATGGATGTCGGAAGAAATATCATGAGGTCGAAGTGGAGCCGTAAGAGAGAAAATCACCTTCTGGGGTTGATACTTTCAAACTCTAGTATGAATCGGATCTATGTTTACCTCTCTATCCAAAAATGGACTACTGCTACCATGGGTTGGAGCTGCACAATCCTTATTTTCCAATATTAACAGAGTTCAAATTGGTTTACGCGGCTTCGTGGAGGGCTCCCTATTTTTTCACCCTATAACCTCTTTCCTACAAACGCAAACATGGCAAATATTCAGGCGAAACCCACTAGTTCTGATCTTTACAGCCAAGATGACCCGTCCAGCTGCGTCCGCTGAGTTGAATCACCGTCTTTCCCTTTGGTAAGTAAAGTGGTCCATTCCGAGAACTGCTTTCAAAGAATTACTACTTTGTCGAAAAGACATCCGTATAGATGCCTTCTCGGTTGATTATTTTCTACGGTTTATCAACCCTTTGCAAGTTATTTAACCTTGTGCACTATTAATATAACTTTCATTTCCACTGCGTTCTTTCTCAAGGGCTCTCAATTACAGTATCCTTATTGTTTATTTCCCTCAAAGTGGTTTTCTGTTGTCATAGAAGGATATGACAACACAACTAGGAAATTCAAACACTATTATTCAGCTATCAGAATCCCCTTCAATGGCAGGATAAACTTTTTCTACCACAAACGAAGTCACATACAAAGTGATAAAGGTTAAAACTAAGAAATATTTTTAGATTGTAAGAATTTTTTTTTTTTTTTAGATAATGATTTACTTTTACTAATTAACCCATATCTTGAGGGAGAAGATTTGGGCTGATACCTTTCACATAAATATGACAAACCCAACAGGAATTAGAACTCTGCTCTCCGATCAAAAATCCGGAGCCATTATCTATTACAACACCCGCACACCTAAGCTTACAGCACCTGATATTCTCAAGTAGTCACCCATCTAAGTACTAACCAGACTCGACGTTGCTAACTTCGGTGATCCTACGGGAACTGGTGTTTCAACGTGATATGGCCGTAAGCTTTGCTACATCGAGGGCTATAATCTTATCCTTTCAAATCTACGGCCAACCGTTATCTATCCACCATATCCTCGTAATGTTCACGTTCAGCTTCCTCCATTTACGTTCATATCACACACGTCATTCAGTAATCCTCTGCCTTGAGTGGCTCTTGGAAATTGTATTGGGGGGGGGAAATTCAGTTAAAAAAGAACAAGGAATCGCTGAATTAATTTTTGTCCTATAAGCCTGACTTTAGAAGGTTATTAATGGGCGTTGATATATCGTTCAGTTTAGCAGCCTAATCTAACAAACCTTTAAGCTCAGTATTTATCAATCCACCCACGAGGATAGAGTGTGGCACAAGGCCGGTTTAATATGGGTATCCCCGAGCCCCGTAGGCTCGGCCAAAAATATAGCCTTTTTGAACCCGCCTAGACGGATTCAGGCCCTGTCTACCTCCCCGAACGAAACCTTGCCCTTCGGTAAAGCTTCGTCCGGGTTTCTCTCTGCTAATGCAGAGAGTTCGACAGATGCCGACTCGGAAGCTCACAAAGGTAGCATACTACACTTTGATCCTAGCCTCCAGGCCGAGCAGCTCTAAACCATTAAGCTCTGCATCCCTGAACAATTTTAATCCTTCTGCCTGAGCACCCGAGTCAAAATTCGCAAATAATTCGTATGTAATGTTTCAGGATAGATATAAAAATAGTTACAAGTGTTTATTCACCATTCAACCGGTGGCTGGGCATTAAGTCATTTTTCGGTGGTGGAGGATCAAATTGTTAAGTTTTCAAAAAAATAGGAAATCTTTATTATTGACTTAACACCACCTTGATTATTAGTGAGGCTTTTCCTGCGACATTAATGTAGTGAAAAATCAAGATGACTAGCGGTGGGACATGGTTTCAATCAGCATTGGCGACCACAATCTTACCAACATAAGATACGCAGATGACACAGTACTGACAGCAGACAAGGAACAAAAAATTACAAAACCTCCTACAGAAGATAGCGAAGGAGAGCGAGAAGAAGGGACTAAGCATAAACTACAAGAAAACAGAAAGCATGGTCATCAGCAAAAAGATGACCCCGAAATACGATTTACATATAGGGAACACTAAAATCAAGCAGGTGCGGAAGTTTTAATATCTGGGAAGTGTTTTGAAGACGTATTGAGATGGCCAAGAACGCATTCCAAAAGCTGGGCAGAGTATTGCGAGACAGGAGGATTTCTTTGGTAACAAAGAAAAGAGTACTATACAGTAACGAATATTGGACGGTCTCCTCAAAGATGAAGAGACTCGAGACAACGGAGGTATGGTTCTACAGAAGGATGCTGAGGATATGGACCGAGCGTGTGAGCAACGATGAAGTTTTGAAGAGGATGCAAACAAAGAGGAAGCTTATACTTAACATCAGGAAGAGGCAGATGAAATTTCTGGGACACTTAATGAGAAAGGAGGGCCTGGCGAATCTGATACTCACAGGTCGAATGGAGGGAAAGGGAGACAGGGGAAACCAACGCATGACATACCTGGCAGGTTTAAGCAAGTGGATGACGGAACGTGGTTTAGGGGAGGTGGCAGAGAGGATGAAATTTATTGAGAGCTTCAAGGGATAGGGAGGAAGTGGAGAGCCATGATCACCTACGTCTTGAAAGGACACGGCACATAAAAAGAAATGTGAACTCCAGTTTTAACATTTATTTTTTATCAAGTCTCCCAAATTCAGAATCTGGTTGAAAACGACGGATTTCTCAAACCCCATTCTTTACTTAAACTGGTGCCAAAATGCTGTATTATATAAAATATAAAAAAATAAAGTAAGGAGTTAGTAGAATGAAGGCATTGATTTGTTAACAAGGATCACCAACTCTGCACTGAAGATGCGGCTATAGATGTTTGCTTTTTTTGTTTTCTCTAGATTTCCTAAACTGTAAATGAAAATTCTTAAAATGTTTGGGTGAACGAAAAACGAGCCGGAAGTGACACAATTGTACACACATCGCAAACGGAAATGAGAACATTTTATTGGGGAAAACAAATGAAGGGAATTGTAAAAAAAAAAAAAAGAAAAAAAGTGGAATCTTGTTGATGAGCGGAAAACGAAATAATTGTTGTTGAAAGGGGAAAGGAAGTTTTTTCAGAAATGAAACGAGAAGGAAATTCAAAGGCGGTTACGGAACAGGGAATAAATGTGAACAGAAACATGCATACTCTAACGTGTACATACATACATATATATCAAGAAAATCACAATATTGATGCATATTTTTTTAATCCAATCTAAGCTTTAAAGCTTACATCGGATTAAAAAAAAAAATGCATCAATATGGTGATTTTCTTTCTTCGTTCTTTATAGATGTTATTAAGCTTATCAGACGTTATGAAAAGAATTTACATAAAATAGACAACACTTTTCTATATTACCTAAAGAAACATGTATGAATGAAAAAAATGCTGCCTAAATACACACACACACTATATATATATATATATATATATATGAAGAGACACTGAAATTGGACAATGGTTAGCAAGCTAATTTTCTTAACTGTCTTTTTCCTTTAGGATTTGAGAGATAATGGCTCTCCACAATGTCCCATCTTTTGGCTTGTAATCGTACTACTCTTAATCGTTGTGATGTTTATTCCGTCATCCATTTGCTCAAAGTTATCAAATCAACCACTCTTCTAATCTTCGATACGTACTGTGAATGTTAAATTCACCAAGCTTTCTTTCCTCAAATTTAAGTTGTATCTTCTGGTTGTCAGCAACCGTTTCTTTGCAGTTCCAATTTTTAGAACACCCTCCTTATATAACGTGGTCCATGGTGTTCTCAACATGTGTCGTTTTATAGTAATGGCTATGACGATAAACTACATCCGGCAGCGAGACATCTGATCAAGAGATTCGAAGAGCGTGGAATCACCTCTTAATTGCTGTTGATCCTAGGTCCACCTTGACACAGGGTGGTAGCACCTGTTAGGGTCCCAGCTATGGGCAAATAGTGAACCCGTAAACAAAAGCAAAAATGCTATGAAAATATAAAAAGCACCAGCAATACATTTTTACAGAGCAAAATGACCAGCAATGTTTTTTATTCGTAATTGAAAGCAACCAATTGCGTTCAAAATAGATTTAGTTGAAGTCATAAAATTGTGTTCAAAATATTTAGATTTCAGTTTTGAATAACCCATAGAGATGTTGAAATGCTGCTAAATAAAAATCAACCAAGAAACCATCCGTCGTTTTAATTTTGTTTTGTTTTTCTTGAATGAAAAAAAAAAACAAAAAACATCTCTACTCATGTGTAAGAGTAGACATAAAAAAAAAATAAAATCTAGTAGGTCTGTTGATATCGCCAGATTAATTCCGGGTGCCTTGTTATTGACCTTATGGCAGATTTGAATCAAATTGGATATTGTGTGTGTGTGTGTATATATATATATATATATATATATATATATATATATATATATATAGAGAGAGAGAGAGATTCATCTAAGGTTGATTGTCAGTAAGGTATTATTGAGGATTCGATTCTCAGCGGTTGTTGATCGATTCGTTTTTTTACGGCTTATCAACCTTTTGCAGGTTATTTAAAGTCAGAAAAATATTTTTAAGTTGTAAGAATCATTTAAGTGGGGATGGCGAATAATATTTGTTTATTATTACAAGTCTTACTAAGAAACCTATATATGGGGGTGGGGGAATTTGGACGTAAGTGAATATAACGAACTCAACTGGAACTCGACTCTCCGATTAACAATTCCGAGCCATTTTCCATTACACCACCCACACATCCAAGCTTACAACACTTGGTATTCCCAAGTAGTCAACCAACTAGGTACTGACCAGGCTCAACTTCTATGATCGTAAGGGAATCGGGGTTTCAACATGATGTGGCCTTAAGCTCTCAGCGTTTGTTTCGTTGTTGTGAACTCATGTCAGTAAAAAAGAATTTATTAAGATTAACTTAATCTGAGATTTTCATCAAATTTTGACAGCAAGAAACACGTTCGACGAGGCAGAAGCTGAAAATTATGGAACAGAAATTCGATGTGCGGCTAACAGATGTTATCGATTCAGAAAATGGAACAAGATAGCCAAGTTCAAATTCCTTGTTGCATTCAATTTCGTATGAATGCCATTAGAAAAGGCATGCATCAAACGTTCTCAAAGCTACGGGTTAAATAGCAGAATAGCCTTGGTTTTCTAGTCTTCAGTAGAAAAGAACGACGACTGTAGATTCAAAATATTAAAGAGGTTAATTGAAAAGCATTTTATGTTTCACAAGAACTTATGGCAATTTAGAGATAATAAAAACGGAATTTCTGGGAAGCCATGATTACCTAAGGGCTGAGGGGACTTGGCATTTAAAAAAAAAAAAGGAAAAAAAAAAAAAGTGTTTTCATATTAACCTAGATTGCTTTCAATTTTTAATTAAAAATATTCATATCAAATCCTAATTAAATGTAATATAGATTTTTTTTGGTAGGCCCCGCCGACAGTTCAATTTTAAATCTTGAATATAGGGCTTAATTTAATAAGTTTGTGGGAATATTAAGAAAGCAAGTTTGGTTTGGTTTGCAGCATATCAACTTCAATAGATTATTTAATGCCGACAAGATTTTTTTTTTATTGCTGGTAATATTTTTTCCAAGAAAATATTATTGGTATTAAAACCTACTTTCATAGTGTTTTGACCCCTTTGTGGGGGATAACTATTTTCCCATAGCTGGGACCCTGACTGGTGATATCACACCGGGTCATTGTGGACCTGGGGACACCAGCAATTAAGAGGTGGTTCCACGTTCTTTAAAATCTCCTGATCAGAGGCCTTGCTGTTGGATGTAGTTTATCGTTTTACCCAGGATGGTAAGAAAGAGTTATGCGTATTTTTTTCTTCTTTTCTCTGAACAATAATTAAAATAATACACAGTTATATTATTACCTGACACTATATATTTCCTCAATTATATTTTTTCTGGGTTGGTTGGTTTTGTTTAACGGCC